CGCTTTAAACTTAAGGTCAAGATTAAGAAGTGCTGTGTCTGTCAATGAACTCAGAGAGAGGGATTTTATGGTGAGTAATAACAATTTGTTCCTTTTTTTTTTCCTTTGTTAGGTATCTGCTCTGTTATCTGCCATCCTTTATGGGTGGCTGCGGACCACACATTGATCAGTTCTCAGCAGTGCGGGCATGAAAGGTGTTTCTCTGCAAATATAGTAAGCTTTATATGTATGAGAAGCTCTGTTAATTTCATTATTTTACTTAATTTATCTATTGACTTCTCAGAAAATGGCTGGAATAGTGTGTTTCATAAAGCTTAACATTTTACAGGGCAATCTTGCTACTAAGTGGTTAGAACTGTTCCTTTGCAGCAGAGTTCTGAGTTTAATTGCTGCCAGAGGGCTACCTGCATGAATTTTGTTAATGGTTTCCTCCAGTTGGACATTACCAGAGGGAGTTTCTGTCATAACCAAATTTTGAAGAGAAAATTCCTCTCTTACAGATCACTTTCTGAGAAATGATCAGTCAGCACATTCCGTCCTCTATCTCCCAACCACAAATCACCAGGAGACTGCAAATATTTTCCAGTGTCTGGACAGCCTATCAACTGACCTAGTTAAAGGGACAGTAAACATATTAAAAGTACCATCATATATGGAGAGGATGAGTATTCTGACCTGGGCTTTCAATGCCTACACTATAACAGAGACTTGACTGGCTGACATTTATCCATTTACATCAGTCTTTGCACCAAAGGAGCTTACACTCTAATTGTCTACCACAGTCACACACTATTATTTATATAGTTTAACAGTCTAATGTCTGAATTTCAGTCATAACTACACATAAAGGGATCAGTTTGGGTTGAAGCCAGCTGTGATATGATTTTGAGTTTTGGATTGTCAGAGGAAAACATAATACTCAGAATAAACAAATATAATGAAAATGAAATATAAAAATATTTATCGAGCAAAAAAGAATAAAAAATTGGTGGTAACTGAATTCAATTTCAAGGCCATAGTGCTAAGCACTGAGCATCTGTGCTGTAACCTGTCATCCCAATTCCCATCACTCAGTATAGGACAACATTGTATGCAGTAAATATCTGCATGTAAAAGTCAGAGCAGACCATCAACTATCACAAGATAGTTGTCAGGGAACTTACATCAGAAATTATTGTCAAATGTCTTGGAAAAAAAGTAAAGTCTGAATGGAGCATGTCAAAAAAAGGAAAAAAAAGAGAACTGCTTTGAGACATAACAGTATTTTAAGTGGCTGACAGCCAGCAATGTCAGTCACTTCCTGAGATAATGAGCAGAATATTTATTACAGAGGCTGACTACTCCAAGGCAAAATTCAGAGGCACTCTTTCTACGTCATCTTCCCTGATGTCACCACCACCCCTCCCTACCTGACTAAAAATGTGCTGCACACAGCACTGCACTAGTTTTCTGTAAGCAGACAATCTTCGTGTTACTGGTCACAGTGCAGTAAGCATAATATAGATAAATGTTATTATTTATCATATTCATGCTGCCAATGATGGGCAATAATAGTGGAAATTCAAGTACCTCTAATGCCTGGAGGGGTTAAATCCCCTTTGAGGTGTTTTGTCTAGCCTTGCTGGGAAATATACACCTACTCTCTTTGTCCTGATCATTGTCACTGGGACCGGAATTGATACAAAATGTAAAAGTTGTTAATGAAGCAGGGGGTGAGGGGAGTTATCCATTGAAGATGGGTATGGATTTAGACATACTTTTAGCTTATGTTTTTGGCTCCTACTATTTCAGTCATAACCAGATACAGTTTTGTGGGAGTGCTGGTGACAGTTCATATAGGAATGCACTTAGCACTGGTGCACACTCTATGATGCCCCTTCTGGCAGCCCCTCATATTTATATCCAAAGTAGAGAGACATTTAAAGTCTACTCTTTTACCCCTACATCCAGTAGTGTTAACCTGGATTTAAAGTGATCCTGCCACCACAGAGGGACAGCCCTGTAAAGAAACTCATCTATACTTACCTTTCCAGCGGCCCAAGCCTTGAAATGCTTCACTGCTCCCCAGTTGATGCAGGTATGTCAAATACTTGTACATCCTGTAGCACAGAGGCAGTCAGAAAGGTAAGTATAGACAGATTCTATAGGTGATCTTGTGCTGACAGGCTTTTGTTCACATCAGATAGATTTTGCATTCTCATAAAAGTATATGGGAATATAAAACTCGCTTGAAGCTGGTCAAAAAGGAAGTCAAATGCAGGTCAGATGCATATGTGAATGGACTTTGAATAATATCGGACGTGTCTCAAACTGATGTCAACCTTATCTCATCAGTACAAGCCCAAACCTTTCAACAACACGCGTCCTAAAGCATCTTACTCTGTGGCATCAGCTCTTTTCTAATTATTTCTCCCAATCCACAGTTTAGTAAATGTTGTCCTATGAGCTATGACTGTTCACTGCAGACTACGGAGTGGACATCAATGCCAGTCAATCAGAGACCAATGTTACAGGATTGTCAGTGATCTGAGTGCAAGATATGACAAAGATGCAAGTCTACAGTGTCTGCATCAAAGAGAAGAGCACAAACACGTGTTGCTCTCACTTGCATTCCAAATGTAATGTGGGCATGTTGTTATTAGACTCCTCAAGTCACACTACAAATCATTAGAGCTCCCTATAGCTGCAACCTAGTAATAGCATTACTGGAAGGTTTCATTTACTTGTTATACTAACAAGTGTTCACACCTACATTGAGCACAGAACCTATGCACTGAACACCATAAGTAAATTAGAGCCACGACATAGAATATAAGTCAGCAGTTGTTAGATGTTAAATCTAGGCCAGATAAGGTGGTGGAGGGAGGGGGCACAGATAAGAAAATGTCTCTAAATGGCTTAATATTTTATTTGTGCATCTACTCTGTAAACAGAACAGCAGCATTAAATTGCTCTAGCTGAGTATGCCCCTATTGGGGCATATTCCATAGTTACATAGTTAGTCTGGCTGAAAAAAGACAACAGTCCATCTAGCTCAACCTTAAAAAATAGTTATACTCCTATACGCACAGTTGATCCAGAGGAAGGCAAAAAAAAACCCAGCAGAGCATGATCCAAATTGCTCCTGCAATATGTTCATTAAAGCGAATGTGTGCTTCCCTAGTGGTACGCTCTATATATTGTTTCCCACAAGGACAGATGAGCATATACACAACCTTCTTAGAATGATAAGTAGTGAAAGAGGAAATATCATGTTATTGACTTTTGTGTCGAATGAAAGCTCAAAATCTTTCTATCCTTTAATGTATTAATTTTGCAGATATTGCACTTCCTACAGGGAAAAAAACCTTTGTAGTTATGAAAAACTACTGGACGAGTGGGAGGATGATAAATATTAGGAGCCACCCTGTTTCTCAATGGTAGAACTCCCCTATAGGTAACAATGGGCTTTTCAGTTAAGATGGGGCCATAAAGTAACCAAAATAGAAACAGTCATAGTACCATAGACACATATCGCAAAAAGAGAGATATAAGAGCTTATTAAATCTTGTAAAATACCCACCGCTGTTGTGGCAGATGTACGTTATTGTTAAACCCACTATTATCAAGCAATAGGTAGAGAGATACAATTCCCTAAGCCCTGCGATCCTCCAGTGGTATAAATCACAGTTCATTCAAAGGATCCCTAAAAAGGGTATCAAAAACAAAAGCAATAAGCCTATATGGAAACACAATGGGATATATGACCATATTATTGCATATCAGACCCAAAAAAGAGACCTATCAGACCACAGAAAGACATCAAGCTTGGCATTGATCAATTGTGTGCTAGGAAAAAAATATAGTGATCCGCCCCGCTGGGGCAGCATAGTCATTTTAAGCAAAGATGACTACAATATGGAATTGTCTAGAATCTTGGCGGATACAAAGACATATTCCAAATTAATACAAAATCCCACACTTAAATATGAAAAGGAGCTTAGGAATCTGGTTGATAGGGGTTATAATGATCATATTCTTAACAAAAAGGAGAGAGCATTTTTGGTTCCCTTAGCCCCTAGGGTGCTTGTAATGTATAGTCTACCCAAGATTCACAAATCTTTAGCTCACCCTCCTGGCAGGCTCATCATTAGTGGGATGGTTTCTGTGACCTCCCGAACTGGAAAATATATTGAGTATTAATTACAACCGTTGGTACTTGACACCCCGGCCTATTTGAAAGACACTAGACGTGTGATCAATATATTGGGAGAATTACATTGGAAGCCTGGTTATATACTAGCTACGGCTGATGTTGCATCATTGTATACAGTCATTTCTCACCAACATGGAATGGAGGCAGTACATCATTATCTCTACTCCAATTCTTCTATTCCAGTAGCACAAAAGGAGTTTATCTTGCGTTTATTAGAATTTTCCATGAGCCACAATTATTTTTGGTATGGTGGTTTTTATTATTTACAGTGTAAAGATGTAGCTATGGGGACTAAATTTGCCCCCAGCATGGCCAACTTGTTTATGGTCATGTGGGAGAATGACACAGTGTTTAACCACTTGCCTACAGGGCACTTATACTCCCTTCCTGCCCTGGCCAATTTTCAGCTTTCAGCGCTGTCACACTTTGAATGACAATTGCACGGTCATGCAACACTGTACCCATATGACATTTTTATCAATTTTGAGACAGATATAGCTTTATTTTGGTGGTATTTAATCACCTCTGGGTTTTTTATTTGTTGCTAAATAAACCAAAAACTACTGAAAATTTTGAAAAAAAAAGTTTTTTCTTAGTTTTTGTTATAAAATTTGTAAATAAGTGGTTTTCTCCTTCATTGATGTGCGCTAATGAGGCTGCAGTGATGGGCACTGATACACTGCACTGATGGGCACTGATAGGTGGCACTGATGAGGAGGCACTGGTAGGTGGCACTGATGGGCATTGACAGGTCTCACTGATGGGCACTGAAAGGCAGCACTCATATATGATATGTTAGGCAGCACTGATGGGCTCTGAGAGGTGCTACTGATGTGCACTGATAGGTGGCAGTGACTGGCACTGATAGGTGGCGCTGACTGGCACGGATTGGCAGCACTGATAGCTGGCACTGACTGCCATTGATAGGTGGCATTAACTGGCACTGATAGGTGACACTAAAAGGCAGCTCATATGGGCACTGATATGTGGCATTGATGTGCACTGGTAGGCACTGATATGTGGCAGTGATGTGGCACTGATGGGCACTGGCAGGTGGCATTGATGAGCACTGACAGCTGGCATTGATGGACACTGACAGGTGGCACTGCTGGGGCTACACTGATCATCAGGGCACACTGATCATCAGTGCCCTGATGATCAGTGTACATGTCCCCTCTGAGGAATGCCGATTGCCGGCTTTCCTCTCCTCACGAGCTGTCAGCGTGACAGCTTGTGAGGAGAGAAATGCCGATAACCGGCAATTCCCTATTTACATGCGATCAGCTGTGATTGGACACAGCTGATCACGTGACCGAGCGACCGTCTTAGGCTCTTTCCATTGATCAGTGATCCACTGTGTCCGAGGGACACAGCACACCACCGACTGACGCGCTGCGCTGCCACGGAGCCGCACACGCACGGTTAGAGTGGGAGGACGTAATTTGATGTCCTCCCAAAACGAGAGAACCGCCTTGCGTCCATTGTTTCCTTATATTGCGGGTGGGAGGCGGTTAAGGAAAGATGATCAGAGCTTATATTGTGGAGCGCGACATCAACAATGTCATCCTGATTTGGGAGGGTGACTTAAATTCTCTTAATTCCTACATAGACCATTTTAATGTTAATGGTAGGAGTATATCCCTTACTCATGAGGCAAGTATGAGTGAATTGACATTTCTTGACTACCATACAGAAGGACACTATTGTTACGTCCACTTTTTTTTAAGTCCACTGACAGGTATAGTCTTATACCTAAAGTAGTTGTCATCATCCCTCGTGGCTCTCTTCAGTGCCAAAGAGACAATTTTTGCGCTTGAGGCGTAATTCTACTAACACACAATTTTTTAGAACAGGCTAAATTTCTTAAAACTAGATTTATAGAGAAGGGATATAATGAGACTGATCTGGAGAGAACTATATCCGAGGTGACCTCGAGGGACAGGAATTTATTACTAATAGAGAAACCTATACCATGGGCTGAGTCCAGCTCTTTGGGTCTCTCATTTATTACTTCCTTCTCTGCACAGCATTATAAGGTCAAGCAAATTATCAAAAAACATTGGTCTGTGTTAAAGAATGATCGATTATTAGGCCCCATCTTACCTGAAAAGCCCATTGTTACCCATAGGGGAGTTCTACCACTTGTGAAACAGGGTGGCTCCTAATATTTATCATCCTCCCACTCGTTTGGTATTTTTTCATGACTACAAAGTTTTTTTTCCCTATAGGAAGTGCAACATGTGCAAAATTAATACATTAAAGGATAGAAACTTCAATGACTTATGATATTTCCTCTTTCATTACTTGTCATTCTAAGAACGTTGTGTATATGCTCATCTGTCCTTGTGGGAAACAATATATAGGGCGTACAACTAGGGAAGCACACATTCGCTTTAACGAACATATTGCCGAATATTAGAAAGGGCTTTAAATGGCACAGTGTTTCACAGCACTATGCCCTCTTTCATAGTAAGAACCCTGAAGGAACCACCTTCCTTGTTATAGATAAATACATCCCTCATTGGAGGAGTGGTAATGCCAATAAAGAGATATCTTGCTCTGAGGTTAAGTGGATATACGATCTAAAGACTTCTGTACCACACGGCTTTAATATTGATTGGGACATTAGTTGTTTTATTAATAATAATGAAGGCATTGTTTATTATGTATATTGTACAGTTTTTATCTTTTGTTGTATTGCAGAGATGGCCGGCTGTATCCCCTTTTTTAGTACATTGATATTTTATTATTTAGTTATATATTTTAAATATTTATTTTTATCTATTTACAGCCAATAATTCACAAGTGTAATTACACTGTTTACCTCTAGGGGTTATTTTATCATTATTACCGTTTATTAGTTATAGTACTCGCATCCAGGGGCTTGAGACATTCATAACATTTCGATTTATTTGATCACCAGTAGGGGACGGTGCAAAAGAGGTTCCTTGTATGATCCTCTTCATATTGTTTTGTCTCATGGTCTTTGCATCGCGGTCTGTAGCGGCCCGTGGTATTTAGGCATTTGATGTTGCAGTGGAGGTGACCAATCACAGCCGGTCCTCTCTTTGGAATCTTCCTATATAAGCGTGGTAATGGATGTGCGCCCTTAATCCCTGATGACGTCATATCTGATGAAACATGTCGAGTGTGTGACATTAAGTGGTGTCAGACCCCAGTCCTTCTCACCAACTCGTGACCGAAGGACCAGCCGATCTCGCACCGTCCTGTCACTTGCGTAACAATGCCACTCTCAGCTGCACCCTGCACAAAGATTTTCCAGCTTGCGGGACCACAATCTATGTGCCAGCAGCCTGAGAGTTATTGTTACTGGGTCAGATTAATTACACAATTAACCCTTCACACTGCCACCACCACCTTTTTACAGAGAAGGAGGAAATTCACAAATCTTAGCAGTAACACTATGATATTGGTATAAGCGTCTATAATACACCCTGTCACCACAGACAGATGTATTCAGATGATTATTACATACAGTAGCACTCTTCAGAGACAGGGATTCTTTAGTTTGCATTAAAAGCTTTAGAGACAGTTCAACACTTTTCAGAAAATAGGATTTATTACTAAAAAAGGTCAAAATGGTGCAATTAAAATATTTACAGAAAAAGATGTAACAAAGATATAAAGAGAACAATAAAACAATAGAGAAATAAAAAAGAAGTTCAGAAGGCAGAATACCTGCAAAAGTCCTTGGTTTGAGCAGAGTCCAATTGTCCGAACAAAAGGCTGATTTGGATCTCAAGTCTCTTAGCTGATTCCTGATCCATGTTAAAAGGAGAGCTCATTTTTCTCCAGGCTGTCAGTCTTTTTCTTTCATCTCAAAGGGGTGTCTCTTGAGAACAAATGGCTAATCAATCCCATTTGGGAATGGGTGTTAGGCGGTAACCAAGGTTATGACCAAATCCCTTCCAAGTTCATACTACGGTCAATAACCTTCAATAAGTACAGGTAGCATCCTAGCAAATGGCAGATTAATATTTAGAATTATAATCCAAACACAAAGGTACCAAACATAGCATATCCTTGCCGCTCTGGATAAAAGAAATTGCTTTCTACTCTCTTGTAGGCGCTAACATAGGGATGTAAGGTGTCATGTGACTCATATTAAAATTACCTATCCGAATATATACTTCATATTAATGTGCCCAGTTCCTGTTGAAGTTTATGAATTTGTGTGAAAATGACTCATGTGGAATGTACGTTTTATGGCACACTCTAGCTCTAATGGCCTAACAGGTCATGACTGACTGAGTTATTGTTTTAGGAGGAAAGTGGTTTGCAAGCAGACCCCCTGGAACCATACTAATTAGTGGTTTACAGCCATGGAGCTCATCTAGCTGTGTTTATTTAGGATAAGAGGCACTTTTGACCTCCGTTCACTTACAGCCTCACATTCCATTCAAAAGGGAGGAGGGAGGACAGGAGAGACAACATGGCTGCGACCTAACAAGATGGCTGTTCATGTACAGCATCCATGCCTCTATGGCACACAATCGTCACACAGTGGAGCTAGGGCGTATGTCACCACGCATGCCTACACGCCCGTGGCCAACTTTGAAGTGGTAAACGTGATCTTTTACCCTCATACAATGCTGTATTGTATTGTTTGTAATGTAAATGCATTACTGTGGCTCAATAAATATTTGTTTAAGAATTTTACGCTATGGCCGCTTTTCTTTTTTCATGTCCCTGCTTTCAATGTGCTTAACAACGATCTTCCAATTTGGAGTGCAGGAATGCTGTTTAATACTTGGTTGGAGGCTAAAAATGAGTTTTGGAGTGGCTGCTGTTTGATTACATCTGTGCCTTATTTGACCATTCTATAACATGATGGTCAATACTATCCGGTAAGCCTCCTGTGAGCACTGAGTGGGGTGAAATGTGGTGTATTTGTATACATTTGATATTCTTTATCATTGAAGACACAGGATTTTGATTGATGGACATTATTTATATAGTGTCTGTTTGGCACTGGGACTGATTTGATCACTTTTTAGTGTTCATTTGTTCACCATTCACATTATTTATTTTTGGTTATTTTAGCGCTGCACCTCCACACATACGGTATATGTTTTTATATTCACAGTATCAGAATATAGTGCTGGCAGCTTGTATGTTTTATGTTTGATGTTATATTGACCAGCATAGATTCTAATACTTTTTTCACTTTAAATGACCTAAAAAAGGTTTTGTTGGAGATCCACGTTTAGTATGTTCAAATCTGATATGGTATTGTACAGTCATGGCCAAAAATATTGGCACCCCTGCATTTGTGTCAGGTAATGCACCATTCCGGAGTAGAATGATGGGCTTTACCAAAAAGTTGTAATTTTGTTTTGTCTGTCCACAGCACATTCTCCCAAAAGGATTTTGGCTTCCTCAGGTAAGTTTTGGTAAACTCCAATCTGTCTTTCTTTATGTTTCTGTCAGTAGTGGGTTCTTCCTGGGTCTCCTACCGTAGCATCCCTTTTCATTCAGATTGCGGCGTATAGTGTACGCTGACACAGCTGTACCCTATGCCTGAAGGTCAGCTTGAATTTGTTTGGAAGTTTATCGGGGTTCTTTATCCACCATTCAAACAATCCTTTGTTGTAATCGTTGATCAAGTTTTTCTCTTTCGTCCACATCCAGGAAGATTAGCTACAGTGCCATGTAAACTTCTTGACAAAGTTGTACACAGTGGACACAGGAACGTTAAGATATGCCAATTGATACAGGTGAATTTAATTACAAATTACAGGAGCATCACAAACTTGGAATACAATTAGTTCTTACAATTTTGAGTAGGTGCCAATAATTTTGTCCAGTCCATTTTTGGAGTTATGTGTTGAATGTGTCATATTTGACTTTTTGTTTCCCCACTATTTTGTGTCATACCAATACAAACAAAAGATATAAACATGAGAATGCCTAAACATTTGTAACTGCAACAATTTTCAAGGAGAAGTGGTGCATTGTTTGACAGAAATGCGGGGGTGCCAATATTTTTGAGCATGACTGTAAGCTGTTTCCATAAATAAGGTTGTCATATGTAGCGCCCTTATAAATGTGATGACATTTTTCATTAACGGCATGCTCAGGATGAAAGATTCACGGAATTGCTGGGCACTCATCGCCACGTCACTCACTGACATGAAACATGCCCTCTACATCTGTTTACTACTGCCTGTTCCCACAAGCTGTAGTGTAAGATCTGTTCTAAACTTCCCCTTCTGGAGCAGCAATTTGATTGGCGACTTGGTGGTGATCATAAACATCTGCAACGTGCAAATCTTTCCCAATCCAAACACAGCAATGTTAATAAAACAATGGGCCAGCTGCAAGGTCTAAATGTTAGTTTTTATAAAGAATTACAT